TCCTGCTGACCTCACCCAGATCCACTGGTTCCTGTCGGCGCTAAAATATTATCTTTATTCTGTACAGGTGACCAAATAATACAGTTTGACATTCACTATTTGTTCCAGTGGTTTAGAATATATGTTCCACTTTATATTTTGCTTTGCATCAGACACTTTCTTATAGTTTCCATACAGAGGTAGAGAAATTATATGACTAGAAACTTTCTTTCTCAGAATGATATGCTCAGACTTTCTTGCATCCCTCTGCTAAGTTAAACTGAGACAATGCAAGAGAGTCATTTGCCACCTTTCTTTGGCAGTTCTTTCACAGAGTTTGTTCTCTCCCGATCCTCCATCTCTCTTGGTAACTTGCCGCAGCCCCTGGTCCCCACTGGCTTTCATGCCTCAGTATTGTCACATGAACGGTAAACAATGTATTAGCATAATGTGTAACTTGACAGAGCAGGATGTTGCACAGAGAAATGAATCTCAAAGGCAAAACTTCAGAAGCTGCTTTCCACAGAAACTGTACAACCATCGAGTGCTGTCTGTTATGCCGCAGTGATTTATTAAAACATAGTGTGTGTTTGTGTGTAGGGTGCTGCTGGGAGCATCGCTGGGCCCAGGTGGCTCCTGTTGTTTCACCCTCCTAACAAATTGTTATTGGCATCAATTTCAGCCATCAGTGCAAGATGTCCCTTTCCTCATGACAAGACAATTAAATCTTGTATTAAGTCTGAATATTCTGATGTGTTTTTCATGAAAATGAAATGACAGCAATCCGCGTTTGCATTTGTCAGACATCTACAGATCTGTTAGATAAAGTAGTATTAGTGAAATAATGAAAGGTGTTCTGAGCATGGAATACATATTTAGTAAATAATCATGTTTGGGGCAAGGGTGTGAAACATTCCCCCAGAAGTCCTAATGCTGCCTGAGGTTTTTCGTCCCAGCCTGGACACCAGTTAATTTCAACAATTAGTACATCTTCAACAAAAGGGGGGGGGAATCAGTGACATCAGCTGGTGTAGTGTTTGTTTGGAATGAAATCATACATACCCTTGGTCCTCCTCTGCACATGATTGCCCAGCCATGCTCTGCTCTAACCAGCAATGAGGACTGAATCGCTTTGTAAATTTCCCAAGGGACTTTCTCTGCCTCGACGATTTAGTGGTGGAAAGTGGTTGAATCAGATTTTCAGAGAGACAAAGCATCCATTCCTTTCGGGCTCTGTTATCAAGAGAGATTACCCCGCAGGCACTTTGCGTGGACAATGCCAACCTGATCAGCAACAAACAAATCTGCCCCATCTTTAATAATATGGGCACTACGCCTAATTTGAAGGATAAACATGGATTTAGGAGGTGCCAGCCTCTTGTCTAGCACTCTGAAAAGGTCACTGTTTCTTGAAGGGGAAAGAGACACCACAAGGCACCAATTATCCTCTCCCCCTAGACTTGTGGCCCTTAAATAAATAACTGGAGTGGATTTTTTTTAAATATTATAATCATCACTGAGTCGCAGCTGATTGCTATCTTCAAAATGATTTTCTTTTTTGTGTTTGTTTCCTGTTATCATATACATAAGTGTACATTCCCTGTATGGTATTAATGAGCCATAAAAAGGCCACCTTTACTGCTGACTGCATACTGCTCTTTATCAGACATGCCTCTGAATAATGTGCATCAGTCAGTTCACAGTGAAATTCGATGGCCTGTTTTGCTCAGACTAGCATCTCTCATTCAGTTGCTTGTACTCTATTATGGGGTCGAATGTGTTTCAGATGATGCGTGTTCTCTGTTTGGTCTTTGTTCGCAGAGCTCTATCTCAGGTTCTTGTGAGCTTGAGTGAAAATCCAATATAAATGCAAATCTGGTGGCCATTAATGCATTTTAAAGGCATCAAATCAGTATTGCACTGTAATCAATAAGAGAGATGGGGCTTGTTATTTAGAATTAAAATATTTATGAAAATGCATAGCTCTGATTGATCACACTTTGAAAAGCCAAGCTGAAGGGAATGAATAGAGAGGGCTGATAGAGCCATTTTTGTCATTAAACCAGGGCTTAAATTCTGTTTTGAACAAAGCCCTGTAAAGACCAGTGGAAAAATAATAGTACATTTTAATTTAATTAAAACCAACACATTATCCAAAACAAAAGCATCTTAGGTGGATTCATGCTTACAATTAATAATATATAATATCATTTTAACTTCTTTAAAAATAGGAAAGTGGCCTGTTTTGTGTTTCTGTAATGTTTCAGATAATTGCAAAGTCATGGTGTACAGTAAACTACAAAATATTACTGATTCATTAGAGTATACTACAAAACTGAGTACATCCCTATGCAACTGCATAGGAAGTTTAGGATTTAATATTGTACCATCTTACGATAATTTGATTCTTTTAAGGTTGGAGTTGAGATATTTGTATAATAAAAATACACAGTTTAGATAGACTACATATCTACATGACTAAATATTTGCCCCAAAGATCAATGCAACAGTCAGTTTATTTTTGATCACTGCAGCTAAAGTGAGTACACCTGTATTTTCCAGGTAAAGCTAATTGCATAAACATTATGTAATTTCCTTAGTTTTGACCAGTGGTTGTGTTTGCTCCATCATGGCTCCTCATGGCAGGGAACTGCAACAAGCATGAAACCAAAATTTGAGAATAGAAGATAGGATAGGGTGCAAGAGCACCACTAGGTTACTGGACATAACAATTAGCCAAAACACAGCTGCAGCAGTAGTTCTAAGGTAGGTAAAATGCCGTAGCCATCCTCAAAATATGATGCCATGTAAAAATCACTATTTACTCAACCTTGCATTGAAAAACAGGTGGTTAATTGTTTCTGACTTGATGCATATATTATCTGTGGAAATAGCTGTTTCAGTGATTAATTAGATAGTGAGAAGGACATATGAAGTCAACTTCTACAGACAGCATCAGAGAGAAAAAAAAGTCACAAAATGGCACAAAACTTTGATCATATGCTGCCAGATAACATGAAAATAACCCCCTGATGAATACTGGCAGCATATTGTTTGGCCAGGAACAAATAAATTTGTTTGGATCAGATCGGGTCCAGCATTTTTGGCATGACTGCGTAGTGCCGACTGTGAAACACGGAGGCGAGAGTGTACTGATACCGGGGTGTGTGAGTGTAGGTGTAGTAATAATAATAAAAAGATGACTCACCATCTCTAGAAGCTTTGCAGTAGAGAGATTTTTCAACATGACAATGATCCCAAAAACCACACTAAAGCTTTTTTCTGGCCAAGTATGTCTGACTTGACCTTTGCAGTATTTTAAAGCCAATGATAAAGCAACAAAACCTCTCCACCAAAGAGCAGCTGAAATGAATCATTTATAAAGAATGGCAGAATATCTGTCCACAGATTTGTGCAAGCCTGATATCATCTATGCCCAGGAGGTCTAACCAATCATTAAAAAAAACAGACACTTGTATAGCAGTTTTCTATGCCATGAAGCACACTTGTAGTACTTTCACATTAATTGTCTGTTCACCCATTTGTACACCCAAGCACACTGGTGGGACAGCCACTGGTGCTACAAGGGACACTTTGACACATAGACCGGAGAAGCCAGGAATCAAACCCTCCAGTTAGAAGACAACCTGCTCTACCTCCTGAGCCACAGCAGCCCAAAATATATAAAATATAACTTAAGGAATCTAACTGAAAGTAAGGTGTACTGGCTTTTGTTGCAGTTTCATTATTCTTTAATAAGCTGAATATTTCTGTTTTTTAAATTACATGGTTTAATTTTTCTGAGGCCTTTGCTAAAAACAAATAAAACTTTGTTAAATAGACACAATTTGTATTTACATAAAACTACAGTACTGTACATGTATGTAACTAAAAGTAGCTCTAGCATGAAACTCCAGTTCAAGCCACTGAGCTCCGCCCGGTGCTCCCTCTCCCTCCACTGTGATCTATTACAATCTGCAGCACT